CTTTGACAAACTTGACCATCCCAAACTCCGTGACCCACATCGGAGCGGGTGCCTTTGCAGGTTGCAGCTCTTTGACAAACTTGACCATCCCAGATGCGGTGACCCACATTGGGGATGGTGCCTTTCAAAAGTGCAGCTCTTTGGTGAACTTGACCATCCCAGATTCGGTGACCCACATCGGAGCGGGTGCCTTTGCAGGTTGCAGCTCTTTGGTTGACTTGACCATCCCGGACTCGGTGACCCACTTTGGGGGTGATGAGGCCTTTCGTGGTTGCAGCTCTTTGGTGAGCTTGACCATCCCAAACTCTGTGACCCACACTGGGCGTTTTGCCTTTTGGAATTGCAGTTCCTTGGCACACTTGACCATCCCGGACTCTGTCACTCACATTGGGAACGGGGCCTTTGCACATTGCAGCTCTTTGGCGAGCTTGACCATCCCAGATTCGGTGACCCACATCGGGGAATGTGCCTTTTTGGATTGTAGATCCTTGGTGAGCTTGACCATCCCGGACTCCGTGACCCACATCGGGGATGGTGCGTTTGCGGGTTGCAACTCTTTGGTGTTGAGAGTGTCCATTTTTCGAGCCCGTTTTGAGATGCACAAACTGGAAGGCTGCAAAAGAATCACTGCCATGGAGTCTTACTGTATGCTACTGTGATGAATGCGAACTCTGCCGGAATTGTGAAAGGCTGGGTTGGTCCCCATTGCGGGTTGCTTCTCTTTGGCGAACTTGACCATCCCGGACTCCGTGACCCACATCAGGGATGGTGCGTTCGCGGATTGCAACTCTTTGGTGTTGAGAGTGTCCGTCTCTCAAGCTCGTTTCGAGATGCGCAAACTGGAAGGGCGCCAAAGAATCATAGCCACAGACTGTCACTGTCACAAATGCGACTACTGCTGGCTTCTGAACGGCTGCTGGGTTGGCCTTTCGGACATTTTTTATTTTTTGCTTTTTTGGGCTAGTGCTGGGCTTATATGATATAATAAGTTTAATAGTTAAACTATGGACTGACCACCACTGGACTGACTAGACTGGCTCAAACTTACTGTCTGACTCAAACCACCCTTCACCTTCATACCCTCATGGTTCATACTCAAACCACTGTTCATATGATAAGCGTTCTTCCCATTCTGAAATCATTCTGAAGTTAATTATAATATCTCATGGGCTATATTGTCACTGTCTGACTTGGACTGTCATCACTTCCATTCACTTCAGTGTCATACTTCGTCATAGCCTGACTTGCCGATCATGGAAGAGCCGGAAGAGCTTGACAAGTACGACGAGACAGGCGACATTGCCCGGTGTGACTCGAGTCTGACTAGAGCGCTCTAGTATGTAACATGAAAGTGGAATCGGAAGTATTGATATGCGGTAGCAGCCCCATGGTCCCTTGATGGGTTCACCCGCCTGACTTGCCAGGTAGACTGGAGGGAGTTGATCCTTCCAGATTGACTTCAACAACTTCATCCCCATTGTGGTGATTGACAGGCGTGCTTGGTGGGAGGAGGAGGTGGTTGACAGGTTCATGTCATTGACGTCATGAGTGTTCATGTCTGACATGATTTTGTAACTTTTGGCTCAGGTCTGTCAGGCTCAGGACATCGCATGCATTCCATGATATCGGACTGAGTGACTCACTCACATATCGGACTGACTGACTCACTCACATATCGACCGACTGCTTACTTCACAGACTCCCCTTCCCAAAAACACACTGTCCAGTTCGCGGTGCCTGACACGTGGCCTGACACGTGGCCTGACATGGAGGAGGTCTCTGGCATCGATGCGGCTGAGTCTGTGATGTGGACTCGTGAGGACTGGCCAGAAGGACTCATCATTTCCTATGGGACTGACGCCATCTACAGCACAACAGTGGATGGAGACGGTGGCCTGTTGAACATTCAAGTCATCCTTTCAACTCTTTTTTTGGTGGGCCAGACCAGGTCGGTGAAGATGTGCAGTTTCTTAATTGCCTCACTGAAATGCTCCATTGAGGTTCTCGCGGATTGAGGGTGATGCCACAACGGATTGCGCAAGAAGCGTCTGACTGCAGGGCGGTCCTTCTCTCACACGACATGGAGGCGATCTGGCCTGACAGCGACAGTGTGGCAGGATTTCTCCAGAATCCCAAGCTGGACGGCTCCTATGGTTCCTTGACTTAACGTGTTTAACAATTTTTAAATAGTGTTTGTGGCATGACTCTTAGGCCATTTTGGCACCGCACCTGACTATGTAGCCTTTGAGCTCCTCTCCCTGACTGCAGGTAGCCTGACGGAACCGGAGTGCCTGTTTGACGTCCTGTCTGACCCCATGGCCCGGAAGCCTGCTTGCGCTGGAGTCCTGTGTGGCTTGACGGCGATTGCATCGGCAGGAATGGGTCGGGCTGGCACCAAGCCTTGGTGGCTGTGCCTGACATGCTCCTTGGCCAACATGTGGCTGGCTGACTGCAACGTTTATGTTTTTTCACCTTAGCCTAATTGACGTAGAGGTTGTTTAAAAATATGAGTTCAATGACAAAGACTTGGTTCAATTGTCTATTGAGGCAAGACTGGGAAGGTCGCTTCGCAAACTGTGGCGCTTCTGGTTGGCGGTCTAGTAAAGCAGCCAGTGTGGCTGGCTGACATTCATGGTCCCTGCGGGAAGCACCTTGCAGAGGTCCCAGAACTGTCTTCTATTGTGAAGCTTGACATGAATCAGCCCTTACATTTTTAATTTTGAACAGGTGTTATTCGTGTTGAGTCATCCATCGCATTGGCTGGGTTTACTGTTTAACACTGAGCTGAGGAAGAGGCTGATGCTTGACTGGGTGCCAAAGTTCAACCATGATTTTGTCAACATGATAGTCATGAACGGCATGTGCCCGTCGCCACCACCAGCGCCTCAAGCGCCACCATTTGACGTCGAGGATGAGGTCCCAGAGTTTGACGAGGAGGAGGCGGAAGCGCCTGGGCCCATGTTTCAATAATGAAGATCTTTATTTTTGTCAATCAAAGTTTTTGGTTGCTTGATGGCTCACTCCTTGACTGACTGCTTGACTGTTAAGGTGTCAATGACCATAATGGCTAACACCATCAAAACACTGGCGCCTGACATCTATGTGGCTTTGCAACAGTTGAAAGTTGATTACTTTGCATGGACTGACAATTTGCAGCATTTGGAACATTTTCTTATTTTAAGTTGTTTTTAATTTAAATGTGTCAATAATTTGATTAGTCATTTACTGACTCTGATTGTCGGTTGGACTTAAGTTCATCTCAGGCCATGTATTCCGTCATGCATTTGGATGATCTCAGCCTGGCTAGCACCCGCGCGGAAGTGCCTGTCATTCTCAGTTTCTTGGCCTGACATGAGGTTGGCCCTCACAAACTTAGTTATTGTTTTAGTCAGACTTATGATGATGCTTTTTAGCCCAATCAGCTACATTGACTGGCATTGTCGCTCAACTCTAAGGAGAGGTGATGGGGAGGAGTGGCGGCAAGGGGACAAAGCAGGTGTGGCAAAACCCCAGCAGAGTCATTGCTAAGTTTTGCCGGGAAAGGTGTGACGAGTATCGCATGCGCTGCTCGGCTTAATTTAATGTTCACTTTTGACATTATTGCTTTGTCTTCACTTCAAAAATGTGTGATATGATTGATAAAACCATTAATTATAAAAATCAAGCTGACAAATTGTCAGAGTCAGCGTGCTGCTTAAGGCTGCAAGGAGAAGACTTATGGAGCAGTGCCTGACTACATGACGAGGAATGACCGCAGGGGCTCGGGCTCCAAGCGCCGCAGGCAGCCTCCGCCTGACGGGTCTGACGGGCCTGGCGCTTCTGCAGCAGCAGCTGAACCTGTGCCTCAACAGCAGTCAATGCCGACTGACCCTGAGCCGACGCCGACTGACCCCAGACAACCGCCTAGTGAAGAGTTTTTTTCGAATTGGTGGTTGGTGTCTGATGGCGGCGGGCCCTTGGTGGTGATGCCTGACTTCGGTCGTTGCATCAAAAAGTATCCCAAGGCTCCTTTGCGTGCCACCCCTCCAAAACTGAGAGGAACATTTGTCTTTGAAGTTAGGCATCCCTGGCATGCCCAGTCTGACCATGTGCTTCACAGCCCACCACCTTTGCCTTCATTGGAGAGTCAGAGTGAGCATGACTGTCGGCAGGAAGCCCCGACCAAGACACAAAGAGTGGCGTTCAAGGTCCCGCCTGACGAGTACTCTCCCTCTCCCACAGCAGCTGCGGAAGAACAACAAGACTTACCCTCCTCGGCGTGGGAGGCTTCTGCTTGGGAGAATCAGGGCGATCAAGAAAAGCCTGACCAGGCTGAGCCGGCTCCGTGCGAGGAGCAGGAGGAGGAGGCACCTGACCTGCCAGAAGAGAGGCCTGAAATTGTGTCACCAACATCGCCTGCAGATGGTATGATTCCGGAAGAAGAAAAGGCGGCTCAGACCAAGCCTGACACTGACATCAAGGACGGAGGAAAGGCTGGCAATGCGGAGGGAGATACCCCAAAGGCCAAGGGCAAGGGGCGGGATAGCCCAGACACCAAGGGCAAGGCTGCACCTAAGGGCAAGCATGAGCTTGACTCAAAGGGCAAAAGCAAGGATGACTTCAAGGGCATGAAGGGGCAGGGGAAGGAGGATTTCCAGAAGGGGAAGGACGACTTCAAGGGTAAGGCTGCACCTAAGGGAAAGGGCAAGGAAACGGACTATGAAGAAGACAAGGGAAAGGGCAAGCCTGGTTTTGAGTTTGACTCAAAGGGCAAAGGCAAGGCGATGGATGACTTCCAGAAGGGGAAGGATGGTGGCAAGGAGATGGGGAAGGTTGACTTCCAGAAGGGGAAGGGGAAGGATGACTTTCAGAAGGGGAAGGATGACTTCCAGAAGGGGAAGGGGAAGGATGACTTCCAGAAGGGGAAGGATGACCTCCAGA